TATTTTACCCTCTTGCGTTTTTATACTCTCTACTAGCGTTTTGAGCATCGTCCCTTTTGCCAGCATTTTTGCTCCTGCACCCAAAACCCGGATAAAACCTCACACGGCGGCGCAGCCAATTCGAACCCCGCGACGGCCGACTTACGTAATTACTAGAATGGCCTCGCTCTCTCTTCCCTTCTCTTCCACCTCTCTGCAATTTCCTTTCCCATCACCAACACCCACCCACATTTCTGCCCCAATTCCCTCATTCACCCAATACTATTCACGTTCGTCTTCAAGAATCCGTATGTGTGGCCTTTCGACCACACCCGAGAGGAAACCGAGCTCCAGGAGGAAGAAAATCAGCCCTTCTTCTTCTTCGTCGTCCTCGTTGGAAGCACAAGATATGGTTCGTTTGATGATGAGGAGCTTCAGCGACAAGCAGCCATTGGTGACTACTTTGAACAAGTATGTGAGGTTTGTGAGGACCGAGCACTGTTTCTTGCTGTTCGAGGAGCTGGGAAGGAGTGATAAATGGCTGCAGTGCTTGGAGGTTGTGGCCTCTCAGTTTCCTGGCTTCATTTCAACTTCTACCATCTTTTTTTTTTTTACCTTTTATTTTCCTTGGGTACCTGAGAATTTTATCTAGTTGTGCTTTTTTGTTCATGTTGAGATTTGTATGAGCAATGTGGTAAATTCAGACTCCAAAACATGGGTTTCTATCATACTATTGCTTGCTATATATGTTTCTGTAAGTTTTGACAGCAAAGCCTGCAAATCCCAATTTTATTTTAGCTCTTAAACAGTGTATATGAGAAGCTTCCACTGCCTTGTTATTTTTCCTTATGATGTTTAACTATTTATCTTTTATGTTCTTGAAATGCTAATGGTTCGATTTGATGAGTGACATATCCTTGTTTCTTTGTATCCCAATCCCAAAGATTGAATATCATATACAATTGCTAATTGGTTTTGGTAGATGACTCAGAAGAACGCAAATTCCATATATTTTTTACTCAGATAGATTTGTCATTTGTGGATGTATGTTAACAAGAGGCTTCTTTGGAAAATATTTTAGGTATTCAGATGGATGCAGAAGCAAAAATGGTACGTGGCCGATAATGGTGTTTACTCGAAGCTAATTTCAGTCATGGGAAAGAAAGGGCAAACCCGTATGGCCATGTGGCTATTCTCCGAGATGCGTAATAGCGGCTGTAAACCCGACACGTCCGTTTACAATGCGCTAATCACGGCCCATCTTCACTCTAAGAATAAATCCAAGGCTTTAGCAAAAGCCCACATGTATTTCGAGAAAATGAAAGGCATGGAGAGGTGCAAGCCTAGCGTCGTCACTTACAACATTCTCTTACGAGCTTTTGCTCAGTCGAAGAAAGTTGACGAGGTCAACGCACTGTTCAAGGATCTCGACGAGAGTATTGTGAATCCCGATATATACACATTTAACGGCGTGATGGATGCGTATGGTAAACTAGGGATGATCAAGGAAATGGAGTTTGTCCTCTCGAGAATGAAGAGCAAACAGATAAAACCGGATATTATCACGTTTAACTTGTTGATCGATGCTTATGGGAGAAAGCAAGAATTCGTCAAGATGGAACAAGTGTTCAAGAGCTTATTACGCTCGAAAGAAAAACCGACACTCCCCACGTTTAACTCCATGATCACAAATTACGGTAAAGCACGGCTTAGGGAAAAAGCGGATTCGATTTTTCAGAAAATGACGGATATGGGCTACAAACCGAGTCCCGTCACGTACGAGTGTCTTATTATGATGTATGGATATTGTGATTGCGTGTCGAGGGCTAGGGACATATTTGACATTATGGCTGAGTCTGAAAGGGAGAAAAAAGTGTCGACTCTTAATGCAATGCTCGATGTGTATTGCATGAATGGTTTGCCTATGGAGGCAGATATTCTTTTCGAGAGTGCACGTGCAAATGGAATTTACCCGGTTGACTCGTCTAGTTATAAACTCCTTTACAAGGCTTACACTAAAGCGGATATGAAAGAGCATTTACAGAAGCTGCTCGTGTGTATGGATAAAGATGGTATTATTCCTAATAAAAGATTCTTTCTTGATGCTCTGGGAGCACTTGGGACTTCGTCTGCAAGCAAGAAGTCAGTTGTCAGAAAAAAACAAGTTAAGCCAACAGGTTTGAGCTGATTATATGACCAGTCAATCCTTTTCACCTCTAACTATGGCCGTTGCAATAGCTTCTATAATGGGGAAATGTAAAAATGGTGACTTTAGTGCTGCTGACAAATTTGCGGAACTTCCCAGCCAATACTGCTCCAGAATATCAGGTATTGTTCCCGTTTCTTAATTTTTTCTACACTAATGCATGTCACAATGATTAAATATGTGTAACCTGTAGTATATCATGTGTAGATTGTGAGATCACGACATTTGTAACTTTTAAGCCTGAAACAATAGAATAATTGCAATTAAATATTTGAAAACAATAGATGTGCTCATGTTTGTCTTAAACTAGCCATCTGAGGATATATGACATGTAATGCTCACATATTAGAGCATCTCTAATGCATTCTTGAAAGGGTAAAAAGTTATCCACCTAATCTAGATAGAAAGTGTGTGAATAATATATCCTCCAATGCATTAGATTATGGGTCCTTTCATGCTTATGTGTAAAAAATTAATGTTAACATTGTCAAGCTCACTTTCTAATTTCTCACATTCTTTCTAACATGATGACTCATTATTTTGATAATTATTTGACACAAATTTTGAGCTTTTCATAAACTTGGAAAAATCCCACCCTTACATTTATCCAATAAAACATTTGAGAATTTATTTGAATACAGTATAATTATTTGATGAGTTACAACTAAAATTTAAAAAATTTATCAATAATAATGTCCTTAAAAGTAAAATATTATGTTCATGATATTTGTTTGTTGAGTTATTGCAATTTTAATATTTTGTTGTTTTATTTTGAACCAATTAAAAAAATATTTATTGTGTGGTTATACATATTGTAACTGAGAAATTATTGAATAAATAATAATTTTATAAATTTGATGATATAAATAAAAATTAACTGAATCAACAAAAAATAACATCATGCATATAATTATTGGAATTTGTGGTTTTTTTTAATATACTCTTTGATTTTATTAATAATTGAATAAATCCACATATACAAATTGTATGGTTGTTGAATGGATGCATTGGAGGCAACAATTCAAATGAAAGTCCTATTCTTTTAACATTCAGTTCATATAGATTAAACATTAATCAATTGATTGACATGTGTTCAAATTTAATTAATGTTGAAAGTTGAGCATTGGAGATGCTCTTAGTGGAGGATGTTCGTGTGGTACTCTTTTCAGATTTAACCAACTTTGTAATAGTTATTATTTATGAGTGTATTCCAAATCGATCAAACAGTTATCTTAGAATTTGATGACTTGTGATATGAAGTTAGAATTGTCTATGTAGTTGAACGTTTTTATTTTGAATCGTACAGCCTAACTGGAAATGTGAGATTGCCTCTAAATATTTAAGAACACAGTTCTATTGCTAGATGTGATTTTACACTGCTTTATACTCATTCTTGCAGCTAGTATAGTTATTACCTTCGAGCTAGCGTACAAACTTTTCAGTTTCTTTCTTTCTTTTCCAATTTCCGATTACTTTTCCTTTTGGACATGAAACCGTGCCATCATGAACATATGAAAGTTCACACAGTAAGTGGGAATTGGTGGAACACGATTTTCATTGTTAACTTCAAATCTGTTACTTATCTGCTAGTGAAATTCCATACCAAGTTAGTTTTATTTTCTGTACTCTTCTCGTTTTCTGCAGCAATTTTGGCAGTCATTTTTGTGTTGGGCTCTCAGGAGTTGTGACCACTGATAAAAGTCCATGGTGAAATTGAAGGCTTTATGAACATCAAAGAGTAGTTAGTTGTGCGATTTGTGAGGGTTAGTGTGTGGTAAAAAAGGTAAATGGTATATGAATGTGTAGTGAGGTTAGAAACTAGAAGTAACTGTAATTTTTTATAAATAATAGTTGAAATGGAGAGTTTTGTTTTTCTTAGAGCAGTGTTCATAAATATATATATATATATATCCAATGGTATAAAGATCATGTATGAAAATATGTTTATTGAAAATTAAATAACATTTAAAAATAAATTAACTCGAAGTTATTTGCACGATCATTTTCATCTGCAAAACTTTGTAACAATGTGGAGCTATGGCAATGTACAATTAAAGGGTAGTGTGTGAAAGAGTTGGTAGCTAACTTGAAGAAATATTGGAGAGTACAATTGCATCAGTATTATTTCTCTCTCTCTCTCTTTTTTTTTTTTTTGTTGG